TATTTTTAAAAATAAAAGAAATATGAAAGACAATAATATATAATATTTACATTTCACAAGGAAATTCACAAATACATGTTAATATTTCAGAAGGTAAATCTACACGCCCAAAACAAGTAAAACGTATCATATGAATATATGTTCGATATACTGTAGGTTTCGAGTTATGGATGATTAACACTAGAACTACCGAGAATTTAATACGATTAATATGTAATCCCTATAAAAATGGTAACAATAGATTATTTTCAGTTTGCTTTGGCATTCATTATAGTATTTAAACAAAACTATTTATCTTCAAGATCATTTCGAACATTTAATGCTTTTAAGATATCCATAATTGCGAAACAAAAAGGTCGGAACCAGTCATTTTAATTGGCACGGCAGTTATAACGTTAAAGGAAATGTTTCAAGCGTCTCTCTTTTACCATAATACACGCTTCTGAATGCCTCAATCAGTTAACACGTTGAACGCCGTACGATTTCTTAGATTGATTGTATTTGATCTAATCTCTTATCCTTTTTTTTGTGAGATAAAAGAAGTTTGTGTCTGTGTTATTCCAAAACAATCGCTACGAGATCGAGCGATTTTACGTTCGTGTACCATATATACAGAGCAAATTTCATCTTACACAACATACACAATTAAAAAAAAGTACATATATTTGTCAACCGTTGTCGCGATCCGTTGACGTTTTGTTAATCGCGCGGTGTCGCTGGCGATTCCGTCCCTTGTGTGCATACGCCGTTACTGTCGACCATGCCTTTCTAGCAATTATTTCACATAATACATTATTCATATGATTTTCATATATTTGAAAAATAGTAAATAAACCGAACAAAGCATTTTACATAAGTGCTATGTATATATTACGGGAAGTTCGATTAATCCGGAAATTATACAATCTCCCCGCGGTAATTATACACAATCGCCAATAACATTGGAGAATAATTATACATATTCACCGGGGAGTGATGTATAACTCTCACTGTATCATATTGCCCGTAACGAATAGAGTAACGGCACCTAATATGGAACACATGGTTTGAAAAGCTTACCAAAACAAGAGATACGCAATTTTTTCAATGAGACGTACAGCAAAATATGGAGAAATTAATAAACATTCATGCACTGATCGATAACAATGCAAAAATTTGAATGCTTTTAAACCCTGATAAAAAATGCAAATAAAGTCAAAAACAGCGATCTAAAAAAATGGCTCTTAATATGGAACACCTAGGAAATTTTTAAACGACACTCATTTTTATCACGAAAAACGAATATTTATGGAATTGAAAAGGATAAATAAACGAATTTTACACTTTTTTTAATTTACATTATTTTAATTTTTTCTTTTCCTTTGTTTATACAGTGGATATATGAGTAACACATCGGGACCGCTACATTTTTCGGGAACATAATGCATTGAACATATCTTTTTCCATTACTACAATTTTTGTAATTACCACCATAAAATAAAAATATAAGATGATAATATGTAACATTAACAAAGAATGTGCACTTAGTATGGAACATGTTCCATACTAGGAACCCACGCACTTCCAATAGAAAAATGATTATTCTGAGAAAAAACTAAATTTTCAGAAAATTGTTTTTGAATAATGAAAACAAACATGTTCAATGACAAATCATGAAAAAATAAAATTTTTTGTTCAAACTATATTAAGAAATTTGACTATTTAACTCGTCTTTCAGAAAATGTAACGTACTACCAAACACAATAATACTTCGTATTCAATGACAAATTCTTAATTTATGTCCAACTATTAATATGATTGTTTCCTATTATTAAAGAAGTGTTTCTCATGCTAACATCAAGCTATTTATTTTTCGACATATTGTGGTGTTCCATATTAGGCGCCGTTACCTCGTATATTTAGCCCTCGATTTATACGACACTTAAATTACACATTTCCATGTACATGGCACTTGCATTTCATGTTAACGCGGGCAGATCAAACAAATGTAAAAATTACATTAATGTTTTATTTCTTTTGTGAATTACATATGCACTTTTATTGGATTAATGACTTGTTTGCTTAAAAATATGCATATAGTTGTTTATTTTACAAAGAAATAAATGATACAGTTTCGTACGGATTTGTTAAATTTATTACATTTGTATTTCTTTTAAATGTAACCTTTGTAAGTTACACTTGAGAGTAACAATTGTGGACTCGATTTGCATAATTTCAATTTACACAGCATTTTCGGCGTATCAATCTATCCTGTAAATGGAAGGTTAGGTGTACATAATATTTTGATATAACCGAAGCGACACAGAATATACCACACGCCAAACATATATGTTAACACATTCGTGACGGTTCATAGGTTAATTACCACAAATTTCTGACGTTAAAACAGGGACAAGAATTAGGGAAGTTTTGAAATATTAGTTTTTTAACGATTTATTGTTTGAAATGACGATCTTTCCGTTAAAGAAAGATACTTACTTGCAAAGACATGAATTCACGTCAGTGGTCGCGAATGTGTTAATCATCGTACCAACGGTAATTGATAGAGTTATACATATATGACGCTAAGCTCTCTAAACGAATCGCTGTGTCACACATATGTGACGCGTGGTCGCGAACGTGTTAATCGTATCTAAAGTTTATAAACAATATCTATTGACACAATGTAGACGAAACTTTGTGTAGTCTGTACCTTATTTCTGCGATTTAGTATCGTTTTAAAACGGCAAAATGAATTCTTACACTTGTGTATTCAATGCAAGTAAATAATGTGCACGATCTGCTAAAAAGAGCACAATCCGCACAATCGAATCCCGGGCAAAATGAGGCAAAAATAGAAAAAAATTATTTAAAAAATGGGAAATTTTTATATAATTCAATTTATTATAATCTAGAACATATAACTGGTGCAATTTTTTTATTTAATCTTATTTATAACCGAAGAATGAAAGTATTTATAAATTATTCAAATCGTAAAAGTCATTTTTCTCATTCATCAGAATAAATATGTTTCGGATTATTTAAGAAATTGGAAATATGGCTTAAAAGTGTTACAATAGTAAAGAATTATTTAAATAACAGGTGTAATTATGGTACAGGTCATAATTTGCAAATTGTTGAATAACTTATTTGGAATTTAGTAGAATCAATTCTTTCTTGTTGGATATATTACAGTACTCATTACTACAATAATCAGTGATGTCGTTTTAAAGTCATAATTAAAGGAACATGTTCATTTAGAACGACAGTTTTTAAGTTTAGTTTGGGAATTTTTTTTGAAAAATCAGAACTCTAATTTTTATTGATTTTTTACAGGTATATTTACTAATATTTTAACCATATTATGAATTTTTTGGAAGTCAAAATAAGTAAAAGTTTAGGAGTTAGACGTTATGAAACAGAATCATCTTCAAAAATCATGTCTTGACGGTTAACATGATCCCGCCGGTTGTAGTGAATGGAAAAAACCGATGTGAATTCTCCGTTGTTAATATTTATATCTTATTTTATGATTTACTAAAAAAAGTAAGTTTTCAAGTAATATTGATTTTTGTTCCATCTTTTTGATTAATCAACCACCGTGCGACGCGGGCACTTCAAACATTTCCTTTACCACATTTTCGTTTGGACATGTTCCTATATACTTAATCATTGATCGTAATAATAACAATGTTTGCAAAAATAATGTTGAAGTGCATTCTTTTGTTATGTCTCTAATTTTCTGACTTTAGGTGGCAATAAATAATTTGTTAAACAATTTTCTTATTAACGTTGATTTATTTTAATGTTATAAATTAGTTGCGTACCACCGGTGGTACATGCCGTAACTAGAATATTAAGGTATATATATATCAGACATATGTTCATATGATATTCTTTGTTTGTTTTGGCTTGTGTTGGTTTTATTGTTGTCTTGGTTTTTAACTCATCAAGTATTGATATTTATTTATTAATCATCCTGTATAATATTCGATACTCGGAGAAAGAAATTTGTGGCAAATGATAAAGTATTACTAGTAGTATTGTGCTTTTTATTTAACTTCTTCCAGTATTATCACGTGTCTGACTTGTAACACCTGTCACGAGCCATACATGAAAAACAAGAATTTACTCTAGCACTTTTGCTCATGTAGGCGACATTTCTCGTGTAGCAGAAAGGGTTAAGACCATTTATTTAAATAAGGGTTAAGACCATTTATTTAAATAAGGGTTAAGACCATTTATTTTTAAATTAAACAGAGATATGTTAACGAAGTAAAATATTAGTAAAACTAGGAAACTGACATATTGAAAAATCTTTCAAAAAACGGTAGGTATTTAATTGCATAAAGTTATACTACTTCATACAATTCTTGTTAATATAAATCATAAAGTAATCATTATTCGAACTTAAATAAAAACTAATTAATCATTTTCCAGTTATGTTAAAAAATCTTTATTTAAATTATGGTATGTGTTTGTATTTGAACAAGACTAACACAGAATGCTTAATGGAAGGTATTAATTTTAGCTGTCATTTCTTTACCTAAGCATCCTCGATTTATTGAGCAAAGTGCTTTTTGATGTTTCATTTGCATTATAAAATCATTTTTGAATGGTAATTTCTTTAGCCAATACTTCGACAGTAGTAACTTTGCAGTTATAGCTTTTTTAATTTTTATTACTTATGATCCTATACGATAGCAACTTAAGTAGAACATAAAAAATTATAAAAAACCACAAGAAAAAGTCTTTTTACAACGTTATACTTTCAAATTGCATTTTTTAAAAAGTTGATACGTATGAATATAACAAAAATTAGCAGTTTTCAGGAATATCTCGGAAACTCAATAAGTTCAACAGTTCTGTAAGAAGAGAAAATTGTTCAAAATACCAATATCTACAATATATTTAAAAATCATCGAAATCATCTAATCACCTCTACTTTATGATATATGAGTGCAGTTGCGAAGAATGAGAAACGAAAACACAAATTAAGAAATTTGCTTGTCTGATTGCAGCTCACACCGGTTGGTTCTACTATTTTCAAGAATATCGATGCTAAGGATGCTGACGTCGGTGTAAATGGCATTGTCGAGTATTCTATTGCTCCTGGTGACGGGACAGGGATTGGCAACAATGACGGAGTAGGTCGAAATAGAATTACAACTGCAGATGGGTACGGTTACTTCAGCATCAACTTACCTCATCAAGGCCAAGTTACTGTTAACCGTACCCTCGACTTCGAGAAAACGCAGCGATACCTCGTCACCATTTTGGCTTCGGTAAGTCTCAATTATTTTCAGCTATTAAACAAACTGCAATGACTCTGTAAAAAACGGTATTTCTATAACGCGAACTAAAAATTTTGCTACTGCCTGCGTATGAGACGATTAAAAAATTGCTGAAAATAACTGGAAACAAAATTCTGCATAAAGAAATATTACAAGTAGATGCATTACCAAGTAAGGAACACACACATTCTGAAGTTGAATAAAGTTTGCCCGATGAAAAAATTGGATCTATACTCAAAATGCAATGGTATTTAATTTTAAGCGATTCTGACAGTAATCAAGTCATTTTTCATGTGTATTTTTACTCTAAGTTATTTTTTTCATAAAATGAACAAACGTTACGTTCTTGTTGTTTTAAACGAAAATAAATATTATTTTCTGTTATATTAAAAAACAAATTTATTTAATTCTTATTTTTTTGTATTTAGAGATTTGTATATCACGAAATGTGCGTATTACGTTTTAGAGGGTCCTATTGTTTATCTGTCTATTTTAGCCATATTTTTAGCTTCAATTAATTCGTTTTTTAGTGTGAAGTCATTTTTACTCACTTTTTAAATATAAACCAACAGAGGAAGTAGAATAAATCTGCAAACATGCAAACACACCGGTAAATAAGATGACGAGATGTGTAACGTTATTAATCCCATAAAAAATATTATATAATAAACCATTTATTGCCTGTATTAATAATGATAGTATTAAATAATATCATTAATCATGGTTTATTATTATCGATATTGTTTGTTTCCAACAAAGGATTCTAGAAGTTGTAAAGTGAACAATTCAAAAGTACGGTATTTGATTATTGGAAGTAAATAAATGATTGTACATGGAAAAATTATATAGTACTGATTAAAGTACTATATTGACCAAAGCTGGATAGTGAGTTTGTGCCTAATAGAATTTTATTTGAGTTAATATATAAATATTTCAATTCGTTGTAACATATTTCAAAGAAATATGGCGATGACAGAAGGTCGTTTATGAGATTTTAAGGTGATACAAAGAAAAGACTTCAGACTTCAGAACTACAGTAGACATAGCCTCAAGAAAAATTTTGCAAAGTTTGCAGCGACCTTGAATCTACAAAATTTTCGCAAAAAAAAACTGCTTTCACTTTGACACCCTTTACATAATGAACGAAGCAGATAATGTAATTTGAAAGTGGAGACTTTATATTTTAAAATGAGCCCCGACTGACATGTGACAGTGTTGTAACATTTTGTCAGCAAGTTATAACACTTTAAACCTACACAATTTTTCTACGAAAATTTATTTATCCTTTAATTTTGCATTGAGATTGGGGATACGAGTAAATGTGTTGATGTAATGCAGAGTTTGTAGCATAATATTGTAAGTCTTGTTCGTCTACAATAGTAATTATAGAATAGGAATAGAAAAGAATAATTAACGTCGAATTTGTTAAAAACGTACAGTGCTTTATTATAAAACGTAAACTGATACTCTTCAAACATATTTCATTACTGCGTTATGACCAAATAATTCTCAACAGATATTTTCATGTTGACAATGTTTGTAAACATTACAAGAAGCACGTAGAGCTGAAACTAGATTAAGTGCACGCTTATCCGACAAATTCTCAAACTTATTTGTCTTGAAGATAAAGCTTCATATAAACAAATTTTATTCTACATTTTCGATTCAGTTTTTCACGTAGAATTTACGGGACACCCTGTATATTGTACGCTTAAATTGATTTTCAGTTAACGTGTTTTTGAACGTTGTGCGGATAATTCATAAAAGTCATGTCGTTGAAAGATATTTTTTATGTCAATAAATTATTCTTCTACATATTACAAATCTTCTACATCTTGAAAGAAGTCCTCTGGGAGGAATGCTGATTTGAGTGGCCAGAATAGAGAGGCCACGACCTTCCTCACGCGGATTGTCGTTTCTGGTGTACCATTTGTCGAAACGGTCACGTACACTAATCTGGTCGCGTGACGAAGGCAGTGAATGAGACGTGCCGAGTACGAGCGAGATAACACGAAACAACTGACAAGCTTTAAAGCATTGGCGTACTCTCAGTTTCCTTACTATTAACCTGTTAATTATGGAATTCAGTTTGAAAATCTCTCGTTCTGCGCACAATAAAATCTAAAAATAAAGCGTATACTCGTTGAATACAAGCTAAATACACTTATAATATATTCTAACGACAGACTAAAGCGAAACGAAGAAGAATTAAATGTTTGTCTAAAAATATAAATAGTCCATCGTTGAAACCGTTGGCATCATTTAGAGTTTTAAAACGACATGTGTATTCGCCAAACGCAGTTAACTGGTTAACACTCAATCTCTGGGTCGATTGCATGTAGGCTTTCACATAACACGGGCGAGTGTGCGCTGAGAAGGAATTTAATAGTTGTTGGGTGCCGTGTTCCGATAAAAATTTAGCAGGTTGTAGCGACTGAATGAGTAAATAAATCTGGTATAGTTTAGAAGTCGTTTATTTTTGTTTTAATGGAGACTCAGCTTTGTTTCGTTTCTGGGTACAATTGAACTGATGGTTATATAAAGACTCGGCTTTGTGGTCGTCAAGAGACTGGGCTCTGTGTGGGCTTAAATAAAAAAGTAGCCCCGTTTTCCTTCTTTTTTATACAAGCAATACCTAAAACTGCGCTAACAGGGGAACCTTTTCAACTAGCACATGCCGATTTTGATGAAACTTATATGAGATATTCTTTCTTACATTTTTACTTTTAACTTTATATATAACAGTTATAGTAATTTTATACGTTAAATATAATTCATACATAGCGCCTTCAGTATACAGAAATCAAAACATGTATAATAATTTTTGTAAATAATAATTTAATTAATATTAATATAATAACAAAAATAGTAATGTAACTTATGAAGATTTAAGTAAATAAAATATTAGTTAAGGTAGCGAGTATGCTCTGTAGCTGTAGAAGCTGTGAAGCGGCGACTCCATCGATGAATAATGTTAACCACAATTTCTCAAGAGACGGAGTCCCATAACTACCCTGATTAATTGACATTCGTGTACTAGAAAAGGACACTCGTATCGCGTTCCTTTACTCTCCGATGCGAACTTCAACAGCAATTTGTAAAGAAATTAATAATTTCCGACTCATGGTTCCTTTCAGATTATTTGCAAAAAATTGTAATCCTTTCTTTCAAGGTCAAAAAATTTGTAACCGCTTCTTTACATCAGACTTCATCGACTCGACGGTGTAGAATATACCTGTGGTGGTCAAGATAAAACATTTATTTAAAATTATCGGGTCTACCTTTTTAACCGTTCGAGTGTTAAACAAATTTTGTTGATATATACCAAACATGCGGAAGTGATTGGGTGGGTATGAAAAAAATTAATAAGATTAGTTATCTAATCAGATCACAAATATCGAGTTATTACAAAAACAATATCAAAAAATAACATTTGTTCAAATTAATTTACTTTGATTTATTTCTTGAAAAACATAGTAAGAAAATTATAATTGATACTGATGGGTCAACATTCAATCATTTTCTTGAAAAAAATGTTAAACACCAGTACGTAATCTGCTTATATTTCAAAATCGGGTGCAGTAAGAATTGCATCTATTGCTTAACATTCTATTCAACTCGTTTGTAAGTAGAGTAAGTCAAGCGTAATACATTGCAATTTTTTTCTTGAAAATGGTAAAAGATAGCGGGAAAAAGGTTTCAACAAAAAATACATTGTTCTTCTACGCCTGTAAAACTGCAGGATAACAGTTCAAATTCTTCAAAAATTTTATTTTTAAAATGATTGATTTGAGAATTTTATTTTGTAATTTTATAAGCGTAAAGGAACAATGTATTTTTTCTTTAAACTTCTTTTCTCTATTTCGTACCGTTTTCAAGATAACCCACGGGAACCATAAATTTGTATTTTTTCAAGGGGTGGTTGCGCTCCTTCAAAGTGAAATTCAACACAAAAAATTATTGCAATTTATTAGGCTTAATTTACTCTACTGACACACAAAGTTTTATCATTTTTCGAAGTTCTAGGTTCGATGCCTTTCCTTGTAAGTGAAATTTACTTCATATATTCGAAAGAATATACAAAACGTATATTTAGAAAACGCTGTTTCTTTTTCAAGCAAATGAACAGAAATATATATTGATCGGATTTTATCAGACAAGTTTTGGTCATTGAGTCTGAATGTCACATTAAAATTCTTGACCGCGATCGATCGTTATTTGCTCCTTTAATGTAAATCGATCCTACTGTTTTCGAGTAGTATATCGTAATATTTACGTCGGTTCTATTTATATATTACTATTTTATATATTATATATTGTATTGTACATTATACAAAAAGCGATGTTCACCTCTGATTGAATAGCGGATTATACCATGGAAGGTGCGTCACGAAAGTAGTCACCGTTTAATTAGTGTAGGACGAAGCAAGAAAGATTAGATGAGTCACGGAGAGGAGTCACTGATCGTTGAAGTATTGTATATTTTTATTACACATCGGTTATATCTTGATGGGTGCCCACTTTCCATTATTACGATCATTTCATGCCCAGTGAAAGTAAATGGAAAATTCATTTCAAAACTTTTATTAATTACTATGCATTTTATTCAATAGTGAATATGTATTTACAAAGTAATATGTATCGTTTGTAAATAATACAATATGCATGATAATTGCTACAGTGTAAGAATACTCTTTTTGGTACTTTGGTAATTATTAATAATTTACAACTATCTTCGGTAAATGTAAAGAAAAGGGCGAACAAATACCGTGCATGTTCAATCTGTGTTTTGTATTAATTTATATAAAATTGTCATAATTTATTTAGTATAATTTTATCAATAACTATAATTTTGTCAGAACTGCTTTCTATAGAAATAAATAAGTAATTTATAACCAGATAAATGTACAATTTCTGTTTCGTAGTAATTTATAAAAAATGTCCCATTTTCTGTAATATAGTTCTGCCAATAAAAATAATTTTGTCAAAAT